TATGCATAAGACAGAAGGTAAAAATGAGTAAGAAAATGTACAATTACAGCTGAAGATTTCACAACTCCTTTCCACTGTACCAACTAAAGCAAAAATACCTCAAGTAGAGCAGGGGGTGCATTCATAAAGCATCCCTTTGAAGCATCTCCCGTGAGTATCACTTAGAAGTCACATGGGATTAACAAAAATAACCTCAGATGATTGGTTGATGATCTTAGACATTTAAATCTAAGAGTAGAAAGTCATGACTGCTACTTGTGGTGTGAACGTAACACAACACCGCTCCAAGTCTAATGCATGTCAGGGGAAAGGTATCTTGTATGATGAGGCAGGACTCAGAGGAAAAAAGACATTCAGTGCAGCAAAGAACAATGCTTAGAAACGAACCACAACATCCTGGAGGCCCTGTTATACTGCCGTGTAGCATATAGGGAACTGCAAGAGAACGTTCATCCTTCAGGGACAATGCTGAAAGCTCATATCTTCAGACTCATAACTGTTTCCGGACATAAAAGGAAACTGAGATTCCTAGGCACCTAGTCAGGTGACATGAATCTCAAAGAATGATGAGTTCCTCTGAAGAAACACAGTTCTCATTTAGCTTCTGCAGAGAACAGAAGAAAGGGGTGGCCAACCTAGAGTAAAATCACGAGTAGTCAGGTTTCAATATGTATAATACAATGCATAAAAATGAGTAAGAAATGTACTGTTACAGCTGAAGCCTTCACTACTTTCAGTGGTTGATAAAGTTCACAATAACAAAGAAAAAAAGTCAGGGCTGATATGAAAGGCCCAACGTGTTTTGTGCCAACATTTATAGAACACTCCACCTTGGACTAGCAAAATATATGTTCTGTCTCAATGCACTTGAGCCAGTCACCAAGAAAGGCCATTTTTTTTCTTTTAAAAATAGTTTACTTTTTAAATTTTTTATTGAGCTTTTATACAGTTCATACAACAGTTCTTAATCAAATTTAGACCCCCCTTCCCATCTATGCGCCCTCCATCCCCCCCACCCACCCCCACTGGACCTTATTATTCCACCATACATGTTAAGCTCTATTCAGTCAAGCATTTGTACCCAGGTGTCCTTTGGTGCAAATTCGTCCACCAGAGTCTAGTCAGCATATCTAGAAATTGTATGTAAGGTCTACTCTCCCTCACCCAGTAGAAATCAGTCTCCAGCAGTTCCCAGAGTAGGACTAGCCCACTGCCCATTTCCCTCCCTCCACTCTGGGCCCCTGTCTGATTGAGTTGGCATCCTGTGCTGGATGCCACCTTTGTCACAAGTTCACATGTGCAAGCTTCCAGTGGCCTGAAAGCCTCTGCTGCCCTGTGTTCATGAACCAGCCCTGGCTCTTACAATCTTTCCACCCACTCTTCCACAATGGTCCTGAGCCATGGGTGGGTAAAGTCTAATATAGGAGTTCTATCCAGGGACATACACTCTGCAATCTCTTATTCTTTAAAATTTGGCCAGTTGTGGCCTTCTGTGTGCATCACACTCTGTTGTATAAAGAAGCCTCACTGGTGAGAGTTAAGGGATGCACTACTTTTCTCTCTAGCCCCCGTTCTGCTATGTTCCATGAGCCTTAGGAGTAAAGGATCAACTGTAGCTATGTCACATAGGCCTGAGCATCTCTCAGACATTTAGTCTCTGTGTGCGACCAGGTGTGGGATTCTGCAGTAGCCTCCATCTGTTGCAAAAAGAAGCTTCTTTGATGAGTGGTGTTTGGTATACTTGTCTGTAAATACAAGGATCCATATTCAGCACATAGTAAGAAATTTTAGTTGTCTAGAGATATGACTGAGATATGGTTTTCTCTAGGATCTATGACCTCTCCAGCCATGCATATTTGACTGTGTCTACAGTGCCATCCATGAATTCACTCCCATTGAGAGGACTTTAAGTCCAATTAGGTAGCTGTTGATTACCCCCCAGATAACGGTGACACTACTGCACCAATAGAGGTAGTTTTCTGTGCCGGTCATTATGGTTATTAGGCCTTAGAGCTGGTTGGATCATTGACTGATTTTTCTCCCTTAGCAGCTTGCGTAGTAGTCTCATAGGACTATGAGAGCTAAACTTCAGGTAGAAGGCTTCCAGGTCAGTTCCTTCTCCATTGCTCCAAGTCCTGGGTCCAAAGTATGTCTTGTCTTCAACAGTAGGGTCTTATCTTCCAGTTCTGGCAAGAGCTCTGGCAATAACCTGTATTATTTTGAGTCTCTCAGACTACTCTGACCACTCACTTGAAAGGAGGTCTCTCCTGTCTGGCACAGTGTTCCTGCCATACATCCCCCAGGTATACATATGCATGACTGTCCAGTCATCATATGTGCATTTTTCAGGTGGTTCCAGAGGCAACACATTTCCCTCTGGCTTACCTAGCCCCTCAAATTCCATTCACTTCTACTCTCTCTCCCCCCATTCGACTTCCCTCCTTTCTCCCAGTCCAAGTGAAGAAAGGCCACTTTTGAGTCACTAAATAAATTTCAAAAAATATAAAGGCAGATACCGTGCCAACTGTGATATCTGACCACAAGAGAAGTGAATAAGAAATCAATAACAGAAAGATATGTGGGAAATCCTCAAACAGTTGCATGTCAAATAATACCCTTCCATGTAACCCATATGTTCAAGAAAAAATGCTAGAAAAATTAGAAAATATTTTGACAGAAGCAAAAATGAAAACACAAGGTTTTAAAAACACAGTGAAAAACTTCATGGCAGAACAGCTGGATAAAACAGCAGCTGCCTTGGCTAGGTCCTGGCAATCCAGACTTTCAATAAATGGTGAAATCAAATTTCTGCAATGGTGCAAAGTATTCAGGCAAAAAAATTCTTTGGCGCTTCATATTATGGCTTAAAAGTCACCTGATATGTCACGTGAATTCACCCCTTCCCAGGCGCACAGCAGCAGGATAGTAAAGTGACAGCTCCCAAGTTGGGAGGAAAGTAACTCAAACACAGAGACAATGGTGGAAACTCACAAAGGGTTTTCTAAATCTGGAAGCCATCTTTGTGCAGTCAATAACAAATGTGGCAAAAGTGAAAGGAGACATAGAGTACAGCCCAGAGATAATCTATTTGAAACAAGTGACTTGACTGTGAGAGAATCAGGGGAAAGTATGAACAAAGAACTAGCAAAGACAAAAAAAACCGGTCTTTCCACATCGAAGTAAAAACTCAGATAAAAGAAACAACCGTAACATGGTCACCACTCAGATGAAGATGAACAGGAAAAAAGACACTAATGCAAATATACCACAAGACAATCTAAGCAAGTGAGAATTCTCCAGTGATAAACAAACACAGAACAGTAGTCCCCAGGGCAAAAGCGAAGCACTAAGTTAAGGAAGCATGTGGTTGAAGAGCATTTCCTGAAATGTGGACTTTAAAGCAAGGACGAGGCTTCTTCTCATCCTCCATTCCTCTTCATTACAAAGCACATGTCTCAGAACCGAGGCCTTGGAGAATTACTAGACAGCAGTAACTCCTAGAAACATGAGTTGTTCTGAAAGTACACAGATGACAGATCTGGGGTCAGCTTACATACAGTGTTTAAGAAGCTATGTTGATGTAATTTTAAATCAATGTGAATTTCATTTCTCAAAAATGAAATCTCAAAGATGAAAAGGCACACAGATTCTGTGAATTCATCCCTTGAGTCTTCTAGAATTTGTAAACAAAAAGTGTTATCTTCTAACCACAGGAAAGATTCTGTGGATGAGCTGGGCATAGTGGTGCACACCTTTAATCCCAGCACTCAGGAGGCAGAGGCAGGTAGATCTCTGTGAGTTCAAGGCCAACGTGGTCTACATAATGAGTTCCAGGTCAGCTGGAGCTACAGAGAGACTCTGTCTCAAAAAGACCAAAGGAAAAAAAAAAAAAAAAAGATTGACCTGAACAATCACAATACATTAAGATTTGCTGTAAATAACCCTCTAGGCTTTTCTCCAAGGCTAACCCACAAGATTATACAATAGATACTGTTTTCTTGTGTATAATATTATTTGAAATACACACTAAAAATAACTTTCTGGAAAAGAATATTCCATACACAGGTGAAAGAATAATTAAAGAGAAATGAAAAACTATAAATGCTTATATTAAACTCAAGTAAGGTCTCCAATCAATAATATTAATTTATACCTTAAAAAGGAAGAGCAAAACAAAGAAACCTCTGAAAAGCTGAAGAAAGCAAATAAGAACAGAATATTGTGTTTCTGTCTGTCTGTCTGTCTGGTGGCCATAGGGATTCTGAAGGAAGAGGGCAGTCTAAACAGAAAGCAATGCTGTGAGGCCTCTTTTTATTATTGTCAAATTCTGTTCATTTCTTCCCACCGCCTTCACCTGTGGATTTTCAAAAACTGTGCTGTTAACTTTGTTGTTGCTGGTGGTGGTAGTGCTTGAGATAGGGTCCCACTATGTACTTACTTCTGGCTAGCCTGGAACTCACTGTGTAGATCAGGCTATCCTCAAACTCACAAAGACCCTCCTCTCTCTGCCTCCCTAATGCTAGGATTAAAAGCATGTGCTACCGTACCCAGCAGTGCTTTGAATCTTAAGTGTCTCCCAAAGGCTCATGTGTTGAAGAGTATAGGTTCCCAACAGATGGCACTTTGGGAAGACTATGGAGCTGTAAGAGGTGGGGCCTAGTGTAAGCTGGGTCATTCAGGGTGTGCTTTTGAGGGGGATATTGGGACACCACTCATCTCTTCTCCTTTACTTTCTTGCTATGATGTTCCATCACACACTCTCTACCATGATGCTCTGCTGGAAAAGAGCAAGCAACCAGGAACTGAAGATCATGAACTAAAAGAAACCTTTTCTCCTTATAATTGTTTCATTTCTGTATTTTGCTACAGTCGATAGAAAGCTGGTTAATAGCTGATTAATACCCAATGCTGTACATTCAGCATTGGTCTCTAACATAATATGCATAGAACTTATACAGTTCAATAGCAAGAGAAAGGACTGCTTTTAAAAGTGGACACATGCTCCCTTCAGGAGCACATGTACTAAAATTGGAGCAATACAGAAAAGATTAGCACAACCCCTGCCCAAGGATGACACATGAATTCCTGAAGCATTCCATATTTAGAAAAATAAATGAAAGTGGACAAAGGATAGTAATAGACTAGACATGTCTCCAAAGAATCATAAACATAGCCAGCAAGCGTATAAAAGGATGCTGAGCATCACTGCTCACAAAGGAAAGGCAGATCAAAACCACAGTGAGGGCTGGAGAGATAACTAGCTGGATAAAGTGCTTGCTGCACAAGCATAAGAACCTGAGTTGAGATCTCCACACCCACATATAAGCCAAGCACGGCAGTATGAGTGTGTGACCTAACACTGCTGGACAGAGACAGGCAGATTCCTGGGGCTCATTGGCCAACCAGACTAACTGAAATGGCAAGGTCCAGAGATTGTATATCCAAAATAAGGTGGAGAGAGACAGAGGAAGACACTCAACATTGACCTGTACCCCTCATAGGAACACTCACAGACACATGTATGGGTGCAGGCATAGACATGCATCACAAACAGATACACACACACAAACATAATATTGTTGTGGCTGGTGAGATGACTTAGCAGGTATAAAGGTGCTTGCCTCCAAGCCTAATGACCAAAGTGGGATCCCTAGGATGCACAGGATGGAAGCAAAGAACCAACTCCTGCAAACTGTCCTCTGACTTCCATAAGAGGAGCATGGCATTTGCACTTCCCTCTTGCCTCTAATTAATTAATTAATTAATTAATTAATTAATTAAAATTATTTTTAAAAGAAAAAATAGATATTACTGTGGCAGAAAGAAAAAGCCCAAAGTGTAGGAGTAAAAGTATTTATCAGGCCAGAATTAATATAAAAGTGTGCAGAAAGATTAGACACTGGGGGTTGGAGAGATGGCTCAGAGGTTTAGAGTATTTTCTTTTCTTCCAGAAGACCCATGTTCAGATCCCAGTACCCACTCCAGGCAGGTTACAACTGTCTGCAACTCTAGCTCCAGGAAATTTAATGCCTTTTTCAGGCCTCCACTGGTGCACATGACACACACAAAAATAGGTCTTTAAGGGAGCTGGAGAGATGACTCCGAGGTTAAGAACACTTGCTGTTCTTCCAGAGGACCTAGCTTCAATTCCCTGTGCCCACATAGTGGCTAACAACCACTCATAACTCCAGTTCCAGGGAATCTGACACTTTCTTCTGGCCTCTGTGGTCCATTGTACATATGTAGTGCACTTATATACATGTAGGCAAAACACTCATACACATAAAATTAAAATAATAAGTAAAATATTAGCAATAAATAAAAAGTCTTTTTAAAAAAAGATTAGACCATTGGACAGAAACACAGCAAGCAAAATCTTAGAGAGGATCACACCTCTGAGAAAGAATGGAATCCTTTTATAGCAGTTAAGAAAAATTACCTGGCCTTGCCTCCTAGGCCATTTATGTGGCTCTATTTGGAGAGAGTAGCTCCATATCTTGTGGTAGCAAATTTTATAACACCACTTGTTCCCCATGAGATTGTCCATTTGTGGTAAGGTTCAGGGGCCATTAAGTGTCAGGCTTTAATCACTTATATAAGGCATCACAAGTCACTGGTTCAGACTCCAAGCAGCTAGGGCCTGACTCTGGAGAGTGGGAATTTTCCTTTAATATTTTAGGCCCATTCATTTCTGGCCTTTTGTCTCTACATTAATCTCCCACCCCCAAAGTACACCAAGGTCAAATAATTGGTAAAGCATTGAAGATCTCTCTTCTGGACCCACTTTAGAGCTAAGGAGCATCAGTGTGCCCTGATTGGTATTGATGATCTGTCATATGGTCATAGGGCCATAAAGGTTGAGTTATAGTTTGGAGAGAGGATGAAATATTATTACAGGAGGTTGAAGGCCAGACCATGACATTACTTGGGGACTAAAGTCCTAAGTGGTGGCATACAAGGGTCCTGGGAAACAGGTGTCAATGTAGATGGTAGTGGTTGATACTCCTAAATCTGGAGCTTAATGGCCTCTAATCTGGAAGATACTATTCCTTCCAGAAGGTTAAGTAAGCAGGGACTATAGACAGACTGTGACAGAATTAAAACAAGAAGGAAGCTATTGTGCAAGATGGCTCAGCAGGTAAAGACTCTTGCCTCCAAGCCTGATAACCTGAGTTCCATCCCTAGGACTCACAGATGGAAGAATAAAACAGATTCCTGCAAGTTGTCTTTTGACCTCCACACAAATTCATCATAACACTTGTATATGTATACATTGCCGTAGTTACTTTCTATTGTTGTGATAAAAACATTGACTAAAACCAATTTGGGAGTCGGACCTGGTGACACACGCCTTGTTGGCAGAAGCAGGTGGATTTCTGTAAGATTGAGGCCAGACCGGTCTATATTGTGATTCCAAGCCAGCTAGGGCTACAAGGAGATCCTGTCACAAAAAGAAGCCCCACCCCCCGCAGAAAAAACAACTTAGGGAGCAAAGGGTTTATTTTATCTTACAGCCCCCAGGTCACAGTTCATCACTGAGAGAAACCAAAGCAGGAACTCAGGGCAGGAACTGGGAGCACAGACATGGAGAAAGGCTCCTTACTGGCTGGCACCCCTGGCCCATGCCTAGTCAGCTTTCTTATACAACACAGGACCACCTACTGAGGGGAGGCACCTCCTACATTGGGCTGGGCCCTCTCACATCACTAAACAATCAAGAAGATGCTCTACAGACATAGCCACAGGCCAGTCCAATGGAGGAAATTCCTCAGTTGAGGGTCCCTCCACCCAGGTGTGTCAAGTTGACAACTCAAACTATCCAGCACACACACACGCACACACACACACACACACACACACACACACACTATAAAAAATGTAAATTTTAAAAATTTAAACAGTCCCGCCACTAGGTGGGAGCATGGGAGGGAGCACTGCAGGGCAGGAGCACGTGTGTGGGGGGTCACCATGGCAACCAGGAAGGCAAGCTCTCTGCTGGAGACACAGCTGGAGATCAAGCACTGCTATATGTGCCAGTGGGAGCAGACCCCTGAGCTCTTCAAGCTTCCTTCGACCAACCTCATTGCCAACGATGACATGACTGAACTCCTCCGGGAGTCGAAGTGAAAGCATTACTTGAAGGAGACACTCCTGTGGCAGGGAGCTAGTCTCTCCCCGCCACCCCCATGCCCAGCTAATTGAAGTGCCGAAGCATTTGCCTGCTGCCATGGACCGAGGGAACCTCAAGTCAAAATTCCTACAAGAATCCAATCTGATCATGGCCAAGTTGAAGCTCTGGATGACTGCAGAAGCCTATGCTACCAAAGATGAAACGATATCAGAGGACAGTCTTGAAGAGGACTTTGCCCTTGTGCATTTACAACATGGTTCCTCAAAAATCTCACAAGTCCACAGCCATCTAAGAAATAGTAATAATAATAACGGCGGTGGCAGTGGTGGCTGCTGCTGCTCCTGCTGGAACAACTTGAGTGACTCAAAGGCCTTCATGAGCTTCTCCAGCATGGCCCTAGTGGCCTCCAGCCCTGGCAGAGTACACTGGCATATGCCATATCGCTCAGCAGCCAAGAAATGAGTGGGGATCTGTGCAAGCAGGAGCGGAACCCAGGCGCCCAGCCATCTTGGGCCCATCCCCTCCATCCTGAGCACTATGTCTGAAATTTTAAGCAGAGGAGAAAATTTTAGTCAGCCAAATGAAGTAGCTTTGTTCCAGGGGATACAACGCCCTCTTCTGACCTCCAAGGGCTTTGCAGGACATGAGTGTATCATGTCTGTATATGCAGGAAAAACACTGAGAGCCTAAGAACTTAGGGAAAGAAAGATATCTAGGCCTGTGAACCCTTCCTGTGAGCCAGAGCTGTGGTTCCCCTCTAGTGATCTGGAGCTGTAGTTCCCCTCTTGTGATCTGGAGCTGTGGTTCCCCTCTAGTGATCTGGAGCTGTGGTTCCCCTCTAGTGATCTGGAGCTGTGGTTCCCCTCTAGTGATCTGGAGCTGTGGTTCCCCTCTAGTGATCTGGAGCTGTGATTCCCCTCTTGTGATCTGGAGCTGTGGTTCCCCTCTAGTGATCTGGAGCTGTGGTTCCCCTCTAGTGATCTGGAGCTGTGGTTCCCCTCTAGTGATCTGGAGCTGTGGTTCCCCTCTAGTGATCTGGAGCTGTGGTTCCCCTCTAGTGATCTGGAGCTGTGGTTCCCCTCTAGTGATCTGGAGCTGTGGTTCCCCTCTAGTGATCTGGAGCTGTGGTTCCCCTCTAGTGATCTGGAGCTGTGGTTCCCCTCTAGTGATCTGGAGCTGTGGTTCCCCTCTAGTGATCTGGAGCTGTGGTTCCCCTCTAGTGATCTGGAGCTGTGGTTCCCCTCTAGTGATCTGGAGCTGTGGTTCCCCTCTAGTGATCTGGAGCTGTGGTTCCCCTCTAGTGATCTGGAGCTGTGGTTCCCCTCTAGTGATCTGGAGCTGTGGTTCCCCTCTAGTGATCTGGAGCTGTGGTTCCCCTCTAGTGATCTGGAGCTGTGGTTCCCCTCTAGTGATCGGAGCTGTGGTTCCCCTCTTGTGAGCCGGAGCTGTGGTTCCCCTCTAGTGAGCCGGACCTGTGGTTCCCCTCTTGTGAGCCGGAGCTGTGGTTCCCCTCTTGTGAGCTGGAGCTTGGTCCCTCTTGTGAGATGTAACTGTGGTTCCCTCATAATAATATTGACTCCCAGTCCCAGGAGGGATGAACGGAATGGATGGTGCTGGATCACGTGCTCACCTACTGTTGAAGATTAATGCATCTTTCAACTCTCACTGGAGAAGTTTCTTCATGCAGCAGATGGTGATTGACACAGAAACTTATGACTTTCTAATGTGCAGGGAAGATGGGGATGCAGAGCTCTTATCTCTGGGTGGGACACCTCTGTCAAGCTTCTGGAGCTCAGGACTCGTGAATCATTGCAAAGGTGGAGGTGGAAAGAATGTAAGAGCCAGAGGTGGTGGATGACTGTGGGAGGGGCAGAGTTCTCCAGACAGCTGGTTAGTTACTCATATGAACTCACAGCAATGGTAACAGCATGCACAAGTCCTGTGCAGTCTCCAGTAGATGAACCCACACTGGAG